CGACGACGACGAACCCGTCCGAAATCAACCGAGGACGAACGGGCCAAGAAGAAGTCCCGAGCGGAGAAAAAAGTGAAGCGGGAGTCTAGTGAGTTATCATCACCATCCCTGACCACATTGAAGTCCCGTTTTAAGGTGTGGCGACTCCGGTTCCTAAAAAGAAGATAAATCGGTCGGAAAAGGAACAACTCGTGAGTGAAGTACTCTGTCGTTGGTGGTAGGTCGTCATCGTCGTTCCCATTCGTCTGCTATTTCCCATGCAATAGGTATGCCATGCCTCCCTGGCCACCGCTTGATTATGACTATGAGAAGGAGCTCAATCGACGAGGCTTTCGGTAATCTCGACTCAGTGTGATTGATATATTACGTCATACACAGGATCGTCAGCTTACAGGACTGGGAGGAAGAGGCAGACCTTGATAAGGAAGGTCGTGCTAAGGTGTATGCCTTATCACAGGTGAGACTAGATATGTGTGTTGGGCGGGATCACAGTTCCTCGACAGTTCCCTGGCATCTATCGGGCGTATGATCGTCGGTTGATCGATGTGCGACCGAATGAAGGGAAGCCTAGTTTTAACAACCTGATGAATTCAACTACTGACAAACTGAAAGCTCTTCTTAGGGAAGCCATAAAGAGTGAGTACCCTCACCGAATAGGTGTTGTTCTAATTTGGATCCCCTCAGATCAGCTGGCCGAACTACGGGCTCAACCGTCGTTCAAACGGCCTGGCAATGGTGATGAGGAGCTGGAGAGAGATCTTGTGGTCAGAGGCAAACGATTGGGGCTTAAGGATGGGAGGTGACACTTACGTAATGATGATGAATAATAACAACAACAATGGCGTTTACGATATTTCACTGCTATGCGAATGTTGTGTCCTCCTATGTTGAAGTGGCAATTCATAGTATAGCTAGAGAAAAGGTGTAGGAGTAAAAATATGTCTACTTTGATACCATCACTATGATGACGATTTTCCCATAAGTTGTCACTAACTCAACACCAAAGAGTATCACCATTTTTTACTTCGTTTGCTAGTCGATACACTAGTACCAGCACGTCGTCCCCTCTTCTTGGGCCTCCTTGATGAACTACCACCATCAGCACTACTATCAGGTGGAGTAGCACTAAAACCCCAATTGTCATCCTAAGACCATCACAGTTGATTCAATCAACGACGACCAGGTCGATATTACCGGTGATCGGCCATCGTTAGGGCTGTCCTCGCCTAAACTGAGGAGCTTGCTGAGCTCCTTAGAAACGTCTAT